TGTTTCTCTCCCTGGGTGACAGGCTAGTCCAAAGCAAGACCAGCTCATGGTGTGACAAAACCTGCCTAAAATACCCACAACCAAAAAGGATGGGACAAGTTTCTAATGTGACTTAAGCATTTACCCCCACTCCTTTGTGAAAAAGCAGTTTTTTAATCAGTTAAAAAGCCAGCTAAAACAAAACCACTGGTTTTAATCCTTTAGAGAATCCAGGGAAAGGATTTGACTGAATCCTGTTATGACTCCATTTCCCACATACCAGGAGCTGAGCAGGAGGGGTTTAAAAGCAAGCCTAAATCCCATCCAAATTAACCCAGCAAGCCAGGACGGGGCCCTACAGGTTTACGCGGAGAGGCAGGGGGCCCTAATGGAGTCTCACTAGGGCCAGATTCTTCAGCAGCTCTTTCAGATAGTAGCACACGGTCCCCAACAGTGCCCCAAGAAAACAGGCATCACCACACATTCTGGAAAGACCAGATTCAACCAGCAGGTGTTGACTGATGGGAGGAAGACCAGGAAAGGGAAGCCTGGGTGACCTAAGCAAGGACAGCAGAGACTGTTTCCCACCCCTGTGGTGAGAACCAGGACACAGCTTCTGCCTGGCTCCTTCCAGAAGGGACAGAAGAATGTCCCTGGGGACAGCAGCCTGCAGGTGTCTCCTTAGGGAAGGAACACAGGCACGGAACAATGGCTGGGGCTGTTTGTTTCAAATGAACCAAGAGAGTGAGCAGTGAGACGGGTCTCCCGGGGTGGTGGGGTGTCAGGGATGGCATTAGACAGAAGGAGAGATGGGGGAGCCCAGGACTGAAGGAGGGGACACAGGACAAACACCTTTCCCTTTGCTCTGAAGACTTTGTTTACAGTTTGTTTGCGGTTGCTTCTTCAGGACGCAGGTGATGTTCAGCATCCAGAAAAGGGCTCTCTGGGAGGCAGCCACCAAAGATGAGGGAGATTTGCAGCAAAGGGAAGTCCCACACCCACTGACACCCGCGACTGACCTGAGCCACCTGAGTGGGGGTGGGGGTGGACAGAAATGTGGAGAAGGAACAGGCAAAGCTGATTCCAAGGAGAGTTCAAAGAAGGGACTGGAGGTAGGAGGTGATCAATAAACCCTAATGTCTCACTCTAATTTGCTCCTGGACTTCTTAATTAAGAGGCAGGCCATAGCCATCTTCAGAATGCCCTTTGGATATATAGGTCAATTAGTAAATACTTTAAGAAAGCTGTTACATTTTTATTCACTTATTTTTTGTGTCATAGGGGCACGCATGTAGAATTCTCTCCTTCCACTATGTGGGTCCCATAGATCTAACTCAGCCAGCAGGTCCAGCAACAGGCGGCTTTACCCACGGAGCCATCTCACAGGCCTTGAGAACCGTTTAAAGACACACCATTTACAACAAGACTGCTCCCAAAGACAGCGTCGCTGTTGAAGAGTAACGGGAAGTTAGTGACAATGAAGAGAGGCACAACACAAGTCTGTGTGCCCGGACATGACAGGCCAGTCTCCAGAAGGTATCTCCAGACAAAGTGAGCCACAGACTCTGAGGCCTTGGAGAACTCCATGCTAGAAAACACAAGGGCTCTGGGAGTCAAGCACCCACCCGAGTCTTGGATTTATGTGCATAATTTAATGGCCTCCATTAATGAAAGCAGAGATGAAACTTGGACATTGAGAGGCTTGCCCAAGGTCCCCAGTGGGTGAGCTCCAGACAAGAGTAGATCCGAGGTTCCTTGTCACCTTCTCATGAACTCACCTGGGCTCTGCTTACCCCCTCCCCTCAGGCTGAAGAAAGGCGTGAGGGTCACAGCTCTGTGGGGTGGGCTGGGGGGGTGACTCAGCTGGTACAGTGCTTGTCTAGCACACATGACCTTGAGTTTGATCCCCCAGCACCACATCCCCCAGGCGAGCTGATCCACTCCCGTCATCCCAGCATCTGGGAGATGGCAGTGGAGCATTCACAATTTAAGGCTATCCTCAGCTACATAGCAAGCTTGAGGCTAGCCTGGGCTATGTGAGACCCTGTCCCCAGACCATGTTTTAAAAACTCAAAAGGAACTGACAGAGGTGAGGGCAGGATGTTGTTCCAAAGGCTCCATGTCTGCGAGAGGAAGATCTCCAGGAGACGCAGACACAGGGGTACCTGGACAGACTGTCCTGGGGCCCTTGAAGGCACGGTGCCTCGAGGGGAACCGCACGCACGCAGGGGCCTCGGCTCCCCTACAACCGGCCCTTCCACTTTGATACTGGGGCGACTCCTGGTTTCCTAGACTGGGGTGAGCATATGATACCCTCACAGAGAGTCCTGGGGGGGGGGAGTATTAACTTATTTGGAAAGGGTCTTTAGAGATGTCATTAAGGCCTTGAGGAGACTATTTGAGTGATGGGCACGGCCTTCCATGAGATGATAAATGCCCTTTTAGGAGAAAGGCAGGAGGGCAGCTGGGAGAGAGAAGTGATGCTGAAAAGGTAGGTAGGTGGTGAATCTGGAGAGATGCGGACAGACAGACGCAAGCCAAAGCATGCCAGGAGCTAGAGACTGGGGAGATCAGGACCAACCATTCCTCTGGCATTTGAGAGAACAATGGCCTGGATGATACATTGTTACAAATGTCTAGACTCTAAACTGAGAGAATAAATTGTTTAAAGTCACTATGGTTGCGGCCCATGCAGAAAATAAACTCCTGATGTATGGATAAAATGAATTTAAAGTGAAGACAAGGTTTATACACTTAGCATGGTTCATCCACAGTGCCAGGGAATGAGGCTGGCCCTGCTTTCTCTCGGTGACCAAGCCCAGTGACTCACTAGCAGTCACATGACTTGTGCTAACCCCTGCAGGACATTCTTCTGGTTACACACCCATCTGCAGATGACGGAGCCTGCTGGGCGGACCCTGAATCTAAGCTGAATGTGCAAACTACTCCCAGGCTGACGGATGCTGGAGGCTTTGAACGGAACACCCCCAAGCTCTAAACGCTCACGCCTTCCCTGACTCCTGAAGGCAATTTGGGACGAGGCCTTTGCAGCCTCTACTCAGACTCCAGACTGAGAGAGAAAACATGGAGGGACCAGCATGTCTTTAAAATGGCATGTTCTGGGATGCAATTGTATTTTATAGATTCCTTCCTTCAGCTGTCAAAGTAAATGTGAACACACACACACACACACATACACACACACACACACACACACACACACACACACACACACACACAGAGAAAATCACACAGGCTTTTTTCTTCCCAACTCCTTTGGGGAACACATTTCCACACAAGGACTGTAAAAACGGTTGATTCTACTACTGCTAACATGTGATCTTAAAGTTGGGTACCGAGTTCTGGATCTTCCCACCTCTCTTTCTTTACAGCACCCTTATGCCCTTCCTGGTTTGTTAAACTTTAGATTCAAGGCAAAGTTCATGTATTCTAAAATTCAGCATTTTAAAACCAGCCATCCAGCGGCACCTGGTGAATTATCAATGCTGCTGAGACACCCCTCTTCCACCTAGTTCCAAAGCATTTGCTTAATGGAAACCGCGTCCCGTAAGAAGTCATGATCCCTTTCTCTCCAGCCCCATCCAACCTCTGTCCACTTTCTGTTGCTAAGCATTAGGTATGGCACAGTTGTGGCCTTCTGGGAGGCGCTCCATGTCTGGGTGGTCTGGTCAAATGCTCCCTGCCCACCATCTGCCTTCCTTCACTTAGGGTTTGCCCATGGTATAGTGGGTAGCACTGCTTCCCTTAAGGCTACAAAATAACCCATTTTGTTTATGTGGGCATCTTCTGGGGCATAACTGAGTAGCTCCTCTCCCTGTACTGTCAACAGTGTGGTGGGAAATGTGCATACACACGTGTTTGAATACGCCCATCTATTCTCTCCAGAGCACCCCGACATCATCCTATGACTCTGCGGCCACAGCACACACATGCCTTCCCATTTCTCCTGACAAAGCCCCCAGAATTCAGAATGTGACCCTGGAAGGTCCCTCCCCCACCCCCAAGCACACCCACCCCTGCCTTCTCCAGTGCTATGCCCATGGCACGCTCTTTTTCTGTTCTTGTGTGTCCTGTGTCCTTGCAAACTGGGCAACTCCACTTAACGACAGTCACTTCCTCTCTCCTCTGGACAAACACGTGCAGAGTCCACGGGGACCCCGCTATGTTCCACGGGAAGAGCTGGTAGAGGGGATCGGGGAGGTTTTCTTAACCTTTGTTGTGATATCCCCCAGAATGGCCCAGAAACACCTTAAGGACTCGCAGGATAAATGCCCCGTGTCCCTGAAATGTACTCTACTGGCTATATGGCATCGGCCCCTGAGGGAACCACATGATGGGCTGGTAGGTCGGCAGGCTAAAGCCACCGGGCTTCCTGGTTCTGCCTGTTCTGCCCACATTCCCCACCCCAGAGAGAGGACATGTGTGTGTGGCAACTGCTCCTTTCCCCTCCAGCTTGACTGACACCTCAGAGGTCCGTGAGAAACAGGGTTTTCTCTGAACTGTAATCCCAGAATTCCTAGCTGCAGCCTCTCTCACCTCAGAGAGTTAGCTCAGCCCGGAGGCAGGTGCTGGCACATTAGCTGCTGAGGAAGCAGAACAAAGGTCTGGCTGGGAGCAGTCGCACCTGAATTTGACAGGCTTCCTTCAGCTCGGTCACGGGGTTCTCTGCCTCACAGCAGATGTGGCTTTCTAAGGGCAGGGAAGGCAGCTCCTTCCCTTCCTCTCTCAGCTCTGACTGAGCTGCTGGGGTCTACACAGGCAAACACACATGTCCAAACACAGGCGTAAACAGAGGGTCTGACACCCTCCTCTTCTAAGAAAAGAATGTCTGCTTAGCTCCCAGTGAAGTCTACCCCCTTTTCCTTTGAATTCTCCCTCATTCCAAGCTCCCCTTGACATTTGGTGTTGAGGGCAGCAGAGCACGTGGGTCCCCCAAGACAAGAGGCATGAAGGGCTGTGAGGAGAGCAGCAGCAGTCTGAGGGGGCCCTCTGTCACTTACCTCTAGGACTTTTCCTGTGATAAACTGGTGACAGGCTTCACACTTCACTCCAAAGAGTCCCTGGTAGTCCTTTTCACAGTATGGGGAGCCATCCCTGAAAGACAAAGCCATGGGCTCAGGCCATGGGAGGACACCAAAGCCACAGGCCAGAGAGCAAACGGCAGTTCTCCAGGCTAGCCAGACAAAACCCAGGAAACCCCCGCACAGTTACCATGGCCACTTTCTTGGCTGTCACAGAACTAAGGAGCAGAAACCCTGTACTGTTCCTCTCTTGGCAGCCCAGACAATCCTCAGAGGAGCCCAGCATTCATCTGTGCCCGAGAGGCCCGGGGCACCTTACCTCCCTTCCCACACCACCTTATCAGACTCACAGGCCCAGCAGGGCCTCCCCACAGCCTTCAAACGTCTCAGCTCAGCTCTCCCTGGCTCTGAGGGTTTGGAACATGGTTCAGCGCAGCAGTAGGCCTTGACCTCAGAGCACAGTGAAGTGTCCATTTCTCGAGTGTTATTATGTAGAACAGTTAAAAAGCCAGGTGAGGGGCCACTGTACTTATCACCTACAATCTTCAATGTCATTTAAAAGCCAGACACTTCTCTGGCTTGGGCTGCCAGTCACAGTCATTCGCAGAGATCTTCAGTCTCTTCCCTGAGTGTTTCAGTTTGACCCAGACCTACTTTGAAACTATATTTTTGGGCTGTGGGAGCCAAGCTATCTTTGCAATTGTTTCATGGATTTATAAAATTAAATTCATTAACTACGATTGAATTAGTTATTTAATATAACTGGATTCTTGTTTTTGACCTTTGAGACAGGGTCAGATGTAGCCAGGGTAGCCTCCAACTCTCTAAGAAGCCAAGGTCATCCGAGTGCTGTGGTTACAGTTTTTATGACCACACCCAGTTTCATCCAGGACTAGATCAGATCCAGCGTATGTGCATGCTAGGCAACTACTCTCCCCACGGAACTACATCCAGTCTGTTTTGGAGACCCAGCCCAGGCCTTCCGCTCTCCGGGGCCTAAGCTCTCTCACCCAGCTATATGCTCGTTCCCTGGTTGGGGAAATTTTCAAAAGGCATAAAAAGATGGAGCAGTAGATTCTTCCTCATTACCAGAGCACATTAAAAACCAAACAAACAAACGGAAAATCCACCCAAACCCCACAGATTTGCCTAACTCTAATTAACCCACCGCCGGTGCTCTCTGATCCCATGTGGCCCCTCACCCTGACAGGTAAGTGTGTGCTCCGGTCTTGCAGGCTCAGTGCCTAGATCACATGTGTTTGGGGGGAATGCCTAAAACCATGGAGAAGAACACTTTATTAGCTTCACATAGAAGGCAAAAATAGCAAAGGAGAAATGGCTGGGAGCGTAACTGACTACAAGGCAGGGTATACCATTATGCGAGCTTTGTTAATTATTAAATTGGGCCACAATTAATAGTCCATTAAGTTTACAGCGGCCACAGCACGGCAAAAGCAGAATAATCAAGTTATTTCCACAAATTTTATAGCAAAAGTTCATACTGATGCAAAATGGGGATGCACTTCAGCATGCTGGAGGTCAAAGGCGGCCCGTGGGAGCGGAGCCGGTCCCCGTGCCCTCTGGCCCAGACTTACTTGCTGATGTACTCGCCGGTAAGGACCTTCCCGCAGGACTTGCACTTGAAGCAGCCCAAATGCCATTGCTTGTCCAGGGCCAGCAGTGCCTGCCCGTTCTTAATGTCCCTTCCACAGCCAGCGCAGTCTGGAAGAGAACAGCAGCCCACAGTTACCGCCATCCCCCTGCGAAATCCAAGGAGGGGCGACCCCTCCACCCACAGTGCAGCCTGATCTCCCAGCCACTGTGTCCTCAAGTATTGCTTCATTTCTCTGTATAAAATCTTCTTCAGCAAATCCCCCAGGACCTGTCCTCACGTGGCAAGGCAGCTGCTCAAACCTCATTGGACCTTATCAGATGGATGTCCTTCACCTCTTAGATCCTCAGGAGTTAGGTACCCTTTGGGGTCCAGCTGGCCTACAGGCCATTTAATTATAGCGTCTTGGCTAGGACATTGAGAAAGCACTCACAGACTTTCATTTAATTGAGGGCACATGTGAATCAGCTCAGCATGTGTGCTGGGAGCCCTGCTCACCACTGTGTGTGGTTCCTGGAGCTCTGACCATCAGCCACATCTATGCAATAGGATTATACTTCTCCATCTACCTAAACCAGCCTTTTGACTATTGGTTAAATGATTTAATTCCTTAGCCTTCAACTGTCCTTGGCAGATTCCTGAGACACACGTGTGTTAGTTACTTTTCTCACTGCTGTAACAAAAAGCCTGGCAAACATAACTTAAGGAAGCAAAGCTTTATCTTGACGACACTGCCCCTGGTGGCAGGGAGGGCATGGCAGCTAGCCACATCGCACTGCAGCTCTGGAGCAGAGGGAGATGCTGGGTCACACTGCAGCCAGGGAGCAGAGGGAGATGCTGGGTCACACTGCAGCCAGGGAGCAGAGGGAGATGCTGGGTCACACTGCAGCCAGGGAGCAGAGGGAGATGCTGGGTCACACTGCAGCTAGGGAGCAGAGAGAGATGCTGGGTCACACTGCAGTCAGGGAGCAGAGGGAGATGCTGAGTCACACTGCAGCCAGGGAGCAGAGGGAGATGCTGGGTCACACTGCAGCCAGGGAGCAGAGAGAGGGAGATGCTGGGTCACACTGCAGCCAGGGAGCAGAGGGAGGGAGATGCTGGGTCACACTGCAGCCAGGGAGCAGAGGGAGGGAGATGCTGGGTCACACTGCAGCCAGGGAGCAGAGGGAGGGAGATGCTGGGTCACACTGCAGCCAGGGAGCAGAGGGAGGGAGATGCTGGGTCACACTGCAGCCAGGGAGCAGAGGGAGGGAGATGCTGGGTCACACTGCAGCCAGGGAGCAGAGGGAGGGAGATGCTGGGTCACACTGCAGCCAGGGAGCAGAGGGAGAAGGCTGGAGTTGAGCCTTTTCTGTTGCTCAGGATCCCTGCCGTGGAATAGGGTGGATCTTTCCACCTCAATCAACCCATTCTAGAAAATCCCTCACAGTCATACCCAGAGGTCTGTCTCCTTAGGTAGTCTAGATCCTGTCAAGCTATCAATCAATATTGACCATCACAATATGGCTGAGTATGAGCATTGGGATTAGCTGGTCTGGTCCTACACCTGGATCCTGCCTGTCAAAAGTGGTCCTTTAATAATATTTGCTGTTACTAGAGTTGCTGTGATCATGTAGATTATTTCATACTCCACAATGTTAGGGAAGTGAATACATATGTGTTAACCCAGAAACATGTAAACAGAAGTTATTTGTAATGTAACATCAACAAACATTCAAAATCCATGTATCTGAGAAAAGAGCAGCAAGCACCACCAGCTGTTTGGCCACTGTGTCCTAACAAACAAGACTAATGGGAAAAAGCAGTGTCCAGGCAAGGCCACTCAGTGGCCACGTTCAGAATAAGACAGAGACATGACCCGTACAGAGCGGCCGAACAGCCCCCTCTTCCGACTCACCTGTAACTGCCTCCTTTGGCAAGGGTACTTCTAGACTAGCCTCCCCTCTCCTCCCAGACCCTGATCACCAACCTGTCTCCCTGGAGTGACCCTGCTCAAGCCACAACCCTGAACATACTCCCTGAATCCATCCAGAGATGGCTCTGGTTCCTATGGGTCCCTCCTTGCCTCAGCAACTTAACTTCCTGTTTCTTTGACCACAGGTGTTTCTGGGCATCTTGGCCAGCAGGTGTTAAATTGGCTTTAGACCCAACAATTCATGTCCAAATTTTTACTATATAAATACATTTGCAAAAGTTCCCCTCTCCCCTAGTGCTCTCTCTCTCTCTCTCTCTCTCTCTCTCTCTCTCTCTCTCTCTCTCTCTCTCTTTCTCTCTCTCTCTCTGTGTGTGTGTGTGTGTGTGTGTGTGTGTGTGTGTGTGTGTGCTTTCTAACTCAATGTACTTTAAAAAGAACCCTGGTGCAGAAAGGGGCGTGGGTGTTCCTTTCCCAGAATAGAATGTTTCTGGAGAAAACCATAAATTCTTAAGAAACTGCCCACTGTGGAGGATGGCTTCACTCGTCTGCTCCTACAATCTGTGTTGTTTTCTTAACCACTAAAATGTGAAAAATTGAAAATATGTATCTATAAAGTTAAAATATAAATTCAGAATATTAGGATTAGAATTCCCTTTTTAAAGATTTATTTACTTCTATGTATATGTGCACCTAGCTGAGTTTATGTGTACCACATATGTGCAGGTACACGTAGGGGCCCAAGAGCATGGGATCCCCGGGATCTGGAGTTACAGGTAGGATGCTGCCTGATACGGGTGCTGAGAACAAAACCCGAGTCCTTTGTAAGAGCATTACATGCTTTTAAACCCTGAACCATCTCTCCAGCTGCTGGATAAGAATTTGTTAAAGTATGGGCCATTCTAAACTGTGTGTGTACAAAATGACTCTAAAGTAATAAGAAGTATTTTACCAAATGCCCAGTAAGTGGAAGGAACACAGTGTGGAGGTTAAGACAAATGAGCAGTTTTAAAGGGCACTAGAATCGGGGAGATGGCTCAGCCAGCAAGATGCCTGCCATGCTGGCCTGAGGTCCAAACCTCAGCACCCATGCAAGAGCCCAGTGTGGGTGGTATCCACTTATAACCCTGGCCAGAGGGACAGGGAAAGAAACAGACAGATCCCCAGAACTCTCCGGCCACAGTCCATGCAACTTGAGCTCCCGGCTCAGTTAGAGATCTGGTCTCAAAAAGTATATTGAAAGCTCTAGAGGAAGACACCTGACATTGACCTCTGGTGTACACACACACACACACACACACACACACACACACACACACACACACACACACACACTTGCACACATATGCACATACTCATCTACTCCCATTCTATAGCCCCTTTTATTTTAAATTAAAAAGGAATTCACTGTGTTTAAAGAAGTTTTAATTTCACAGGAAAATTGAGAGAGGAGAGAGATTGCCCATATACTTCACCCGATGTGCTTCACCTGCACCACTCCCAACATCAACCACCAGGGTGGTACCTGCTCTTGCTGACACACGCTGACCGATGGATGCATCAGTACCACCAGCATCCACGGCTGATCTGTGTTTGGACAGGTTTAAAATGGCATCGCGGATTATAGCATCACACTGAACAGCAGAACAGCTTCAACACTCCTACAGCACCTGCCTATTCATCCTCCTCCCCGCAATCCCTGGCATCCTCTGAACCTTTCCCACTGTCTTCATAGTTAAGCCCTTCCCACAATGACGTGGGAACTTGAGAGCTGAGATTTCCCTTTGTTTCTGATAATCCCCACTAGGTGGCAGCAACGATTTGAAGACGGACGATGCTTGGAACTTTTTTTTTTTTTTTTTTAACAAAATAAATTTCAAAGATGGCTTTTTGGTTCTACAGTTGGAGATGATTGGACTTAGCGAGGCCACCAGAGTTTGCCACAGTTTACTGCGGGAAGCAGAAGGACCAAGAAAATGGGTGACTGAGGAAGGCTGGAGAGCCGGGAAGACTTCAGCTCCTGACCATCTTCCAACCTTCATTCCCTCATCTGTGAGCTACTGATAATAACCACTTGCTGTGCTACATTTCAAGGTTCTCTGCACAGCACCAGGCCTGGTACAGGGGAGCCAGGCGACACCCTCCCTCCTTCCTTGGTTAGGGGCCAGAGCTAAGACTAAACCCTGGGTTTCTTAATCTCAGCTCGCTCTTGCTCTCTCTCCTGGCACCCTGATACCCACCTGTCACAGAGCCATGAAAGAAGTTGAGACAAAACTTGGGAAGAATGAACTGCCCCCATCACCTGCCTGAGGGCTGAGGCGCAGGCAGGGCTGTGCACACATACTGCCATTTAGCCTTTACGATTATTTAGCCCATAATGCCTTGCAGTCCGGGAGCCTCTGGTCTAAACCATTGAGACCACCATGCCCTGCCCATTGCCTCCTGAAAAACAGAACAGGTCATCCAGGTGCCTGAGCCCAGCCAGTAAGCAAGAGTGAGTGAGAAGGAGGGCCGAGAGCTAAGTTCCTTTCAGCCCAAGCTTTAAGACACACACCAAACAAACCCAACAGAGATGTCTCTCAGATAAGACAATATCACCAGCTGGCTGAGTATTCTGGTATATTCCACAGCAACAACCCACTGCCCTCTGTACAAAGCTATGGATTTCAGCCAGACATCAGGCTGTGGAAATGGACAAGGGGCAGCAAAAGGTTTGTGCTGGATGGTTCTCTTCTTCCTGCTCAACCCAACGAGGCTCTTCCATGAAGAACAGCATGTCCTACTCTCCAGCTTCACTCTTTTTTTCCAGTGGTTGAGGAAATTGTTTCCACATCACCAAAGCAGCTGCTGATAAATATAGAAAGTTGGTGCTGGGTGCTGGGATGACTGTCAATGTCAGAAATAGGTGACTATAGAGCAGCATCAAGGACGTAAGGTCCACTGGTGACTGGCCAAAGGGAAACAATGACCAGATAGGGAAAGAGAACAAACCCTGAACGGCCAGCCCGGTGCCTCAGGACCTTCACTCCTGACACCAAGAGCCAGAGCAGAGCAGGGCTCTGGCTGTTCACGAACAAGTTAAACTGACGCTCAGGTCCACACCTGGCTCGAATTTTAAAGCATTTTGTTCAAAGGCGATAAAAGCCCTAACAATGGGGATTCTGCCCATTTGCCTTCACTCTTTTTGGCAGAGGATCA